ATAGAACACGACAAATCATCCTGTAAAAAGTTCAGTCTAGGGCGGGGGTGTGGCTCAGTGGTAGAGCTTGCCTCTCACGCATGAAGCCCTGGGATCGATTCCCAGGACCACAAAAAACAAAAAAGTTCAAGGCCGGGCCCCTGTAATCCCTGCAACTCAGGAGGCTGAGACAGGAGGATCCAAAGTTCAAAGCCAGCTTCAGCTAGGACAAGGCGCTAAGCAACTCAGTGAGACCCGTCTGTAAATAAAATACAAAATAGGGCTGGGGATGGGGCTCAGCGGTTGAGTGCCCCTGAGTTCAATTCCTGGTACCCTGCTCCCCCCAAAGAAGAAAAAAAACCCAAAAAGCAAAAAAGTTCAGTTTGTTGCACGTGAATTATACCTCAGAAAAGTTGGTAGAGTAGAATTTGATACCATCAAGAACATGAGAGGACAAATCACAGAGTGGAAGGAAATATTTAGAAACCATGTTTCCAGTGAAGGGAACCTGGGGATGTAGCTCACTGGAAGAGCACTTGCCTGGCATGGGCGAGGCTGGGCACACACCACGTCCAACCTCAGTTACTCCACAGCCTGAGGCAGGAGGGCCAAGTTAGGGCCCAGCCTGGGCCAAGCAGCAAGTCCCCGGCCCCCCATCCCGAAAACCAGAATCTGCAGACAAACTGATCTATCAGTCACAGTGTCGGTGTTCAGAAATCGGTTTATTCCCATTGTCAGCTCAAATAAAAACATGAAATTTTAATCGGATGCCTGTAATTCTAGCTGTTCAGAAGGCTGAGGCAGGAGATTCAGGAGATTGCAAGTTCCAGGCCAGCCTGGGCGATTTGGTGCCTCCAAGTAAAAAAATATTAGAGAAAGGGTGGGGATCTAACTCCGAGGTAGAGCAGAACTGGAAAACAAGGGAGGGGTGAAATTTTACAATGACACCATCAAACTAGCATAAAATATATCAAAATATCTAACCCATAGGAATAAACTGAACTATTCTCTATTTCTAAACTATATTCACTATTTCTACTCTGTTATCTATAAAACATCAAGATAAAATTCATACGACCTAAATCAAGAGGGATGCCATGTGCATGGATCGTGTTGGGGGTGCTACTCCATCAATTTAGCTCTGAATGATGGGGGGGGAGAGGTCTGCAAATTAACTGCCAAAAGCAGATCAACAGGGAAAAGACAAAATGTATCCCACGCAGGCCAGAGCAGTGCCCTGAGTCACTGGCTGAATGGCCACAGGACAAGATTTATACCAACTTAACACAAAGGGGAGGGATTTGTGGCTCCCGTGGGAAAGTGGGGACGGTTCTGCTGTTGCAATGCTGTCTCCTTCCTGAATTCCACATGCTTTCAAGAGGCTTTACTTGAGTCAGATAAGAAAAGTTCAGATTTCAAACGTTTTCACCTGAATATAATTTGTATGTCAAAATCTTCAGTATTCAGTATTTAATCAATATTCAATGTTGTAAAGATGTCCTGACATCCTTAAACTGATTAATGGATTCAAGATAATCCCAATTACAATGCCACAGGTGTGAACGTGTGTGTGCATGCACGTTGGCAGGCTGATTCTCAAATTCGATGGAGTCTGACTTATGTCCAGGCCAAGGTCAGAGGAGACGCCCTGCTTGCTGCAGAATGGTGGCTCTGCTCCTCCTTCAGGAAGAAGCAGGGCACCTGCTGAGGACCCAGGTGCTTGCTGATCCTTGTCAATCCAGTTCCAGGCTCCTCTCCTCACCCTGCCCCTCTGGAGGGCCCCTCCTACAGGAGACCGAATGCACACCCCTCACCTGTTTTGTGCCCCACTAACAGAAGCGTGGCCTGGTGAAGAGCTGGGCTTCCCAGCGAACTGGCCTCTCCGGCCTGAATCCTGGATTAGGATCCTACTGAGGTTCAAAGGCTGCCTCCATGGGTGTAGGATAAAAGGAAGCCACATATGTGGGACACCGGTGTCTGCTGGTCATTTAAGAATTAACTAGTGCCGGGCACAGTGGTGCACTCCTATAATCCCAGTGACTCTGGAAGCTGAGGCAGGAGGATTGCAAGTTGAAAGCCAGCCTCAGCAATTTAGTGAGTCCCTAAGCAACTTTGTGAGACACTGTCTTTAAATAAAAAATAAGAAGACCTGGGGATGTGGGGGTGTGGTTATGCACCCCTGGATTCAATCTCTGGTACCTAAATAAATAAAGAAAATTAAAAATTTGGTCATCCTCTCAGGGCCCCTGTGAGCCAAAGATGTTCTGAGCAGGGAAGTCAGGGTTGGTTTAGGCTTTAGAAAGACCTCTGGCTGCTGGTACACACCTGTAATCCCAGTGGCTTGGGAGGCTGAGGCAGGAGGATTGTGAGTTCAAAGGCAGCCTCAGCCAAAACGAGGTGCTAAGCAACTCAGTGAGACCGTGTCTCTAAGTAAAACACAAAATAGGGCTCAGTGGTTGAGCCTCCCTCCCCTCAAAAAAAAAAAAACCCACCTCTGTCTGTCTTCTGGGGCTGAGTGGAGGAGGCAAGAGGGGGACAGGAGGCCTGGGAGGAGCTGGGGCAGGACCTGGGTTGCAGAGGAGCAGACTTGATCAGGGAAGGGACAGACAGCGGGCAAAGCAAGGAAAGCAGCCCCAGGGACCCCTCCTGGGAGCACCAGTGTCAGTCCTGCCTCTCGCCAGGTGAGGCTGCACCTGTTCCCTCTGCAGAAATTGTAAATAATGCACATATCAAGGTGTGAATTCGATAAAGCTCAATAGATGCTGTTTAGCGTGTTTGGATTTCTCTCTCTCTCTCTCTCTCTCTCTCTCTCTTTCTTTTTTTTTTTTTTTTTTTTTTTTCTCTCTCTCTCTCTCTCTCTCTCTCTCTTTTTTTTTTTTTTTTTTTTTTCCAGTGCTGGAGATTGAACCCAGGGCCTTGACATGCTGGGCAAGTGCTGAGCTGCATCTCCAGTCCCTGTTTGGATATTTTACAATAAAAAAAATACTTGAAGAAAAAAGCCTACCCAGACTGGGGGAGGGCGCGGAGATGAAGCTCTGAGAGGCGAAGCCCGTGGGAGCTCCGGACCTGAGGAAGAGGAGAGAGCGGTGGGAACCCAGGAAGGAAAGGTGCGATTCAGCGCAGGCCCCGGCACCCGAGTGCTGCCGCAGGGCAGAAGGAGGATGGAGAGCAGGCCACGGATGAGACACGCAGAACTCGAGGGTCTCCAAGACCACCCTCAGGCTCCATAATTTCCTGAAAGGACTCACAAAACCCCCTGCGATTGCACACACTCCTGGGAGGGGCGAGACACCCAACTCTGAACCCCAGTGTCTGGTGGAGCTCCCAGCACACTCCTGCTCGAGGCACTCCCTCCACCAGGGACGGCGAGACATCCGAACCCGAGTGTTAGGAGGAGCTCCCACCACACCTGGGGTCAAGGGCACTCTCTCCCCTGAGGTTCGTTACGGGGACAGGATCCAGGTAAAAACCCATCAACAGAAGCCCCGCATGGGCAGAGAGTCCAGAAAGTTCCAAGAACCAGCTCCCAAGTGTCCATTCCGGGTGGAATGTGGACAGTACTGACTTCTCCCAGCAAGGATGCGTGACAAGTGTGTCAAGATGAGCCGACCAGGGGAGCTCACCCCATGAAGCTGACCACCCGGGGCTGACCTTAGTTTCTGGTCCCTCCCGAGGCTGAGCCGATCCCACCCGGCCCAAATGCCACGTCATAAATCTCCTAGTTAACATAAACTGTGGTGTGGCTGAAGGCACCCGGCAAACAACAGTCTGCTCAGACCGGACATTCCAAGGACTTACAGAGCACCTCCCAGTAGTCAGGGCAGAGGCCAGACCTCTATTTCAGCGAGGTTAATCCTTGACTATACAGAAAATAAAATTTCCCAGGACTCAAAAGAGAAACATGGTTCAAACAGAAGAGTGCAAACTAAAGGAAACAAGAGAAACTTTCTCATACGCCCAATTAAGTATAAAGCCAGTGAAACAGAGATGACAAGAAACGCCTCTGTCATCACAGGTAAGAAACCAGGACCCCATATTGCCAAGGATATGATTCTGAACCAGTCATTCGGGGCCTATAAACTGTTACCTATTCTGTCATGAAAGTGGAAAAAAAACCCACTTATAATATGTAAGAATGCAAATCACTTACTTACCTACCAGACAACCTTTCTACAAAAAATACTTAGGGATATATTCCAGCAAAGCTAAAATGGAATTCAACAGAGGAGCAGTGTGAAGACATTGTAAGAGGATAGTCCTGCAGCAGCCCAGGGAACAGGCAGTATATCCAAGACTATTTAATAAACCGAATAGGAGCAAAGTGCTGATTGATATTGGCCTCATGGTGAGCTAGGCATGAAGTCCCATTGTGGCAGTTTGAAAAACACCATTCTAGGAAAAATTTAAATGTTCAGTGCCTGATGCAATGATGTACACCTATAATCCCAGCAGCTCAGGAGGCTGAGACAGGAGGATCACAAGTTCAAAGCCAGCCTCAGAAATTTAGGGAGGCCCTAAGCAATTGGGCAAGATCTTGTCTCTAAATACCAAAAGGACTGGGGATGTGGCTTAGTGGTTAAGCATCCCTGGCTGGGTTCAATCTCTGGTACCAAAAATAAATCAACATTAAAAAATAAAACCTTTATGCAGTAAAATCAAGGTTGAAATATAAGAAAACAAAAATGTGTCCTGACAAAGTGTTTAGACCCTACATTTAATGTTACAACTTACATGGCATTGGTTTAATGAAGTAGGATTATGTCTTCATATAGATCCACATTGATTAGCATTTACATACTTAATATACCAGCTCTATAGTTTCACCTTCAGACTCAGTGTATGGACAAAGCACTGAAGATTTATTGTAACCCGGGAAGGCACCCTGACGATGCAAAAATGATGATAGAGCAGACAGGCCTGGGGATGTGGCTCAGGGGTAGAAGGCTTGTCTAGTAGGCAGGTCCTGCTGTCTGTCCCCAGCAAGGCCTATAACACACGAATCAATGTACTAAACAAAGAAATAGAAGCATTATCTTTTTATTTGGCCTTACATGGTTAAAGTAATAGAAACAAATATAGAAAAGATCAAAATTAGTTAACCTTTGAGGACTAGGACTAATGGAGACCCGGGAAGGTGGAATTCTGTGTGGTCTAACTCTGCCCTTGTGCATATGTTATTATTGTAACTTTATCGAAGAAATATTAATTATTTGAAAAGTCGGCCTGGCTGCTGTGGGGGGCGGTGGGGAGGGGTGAGATGATGTTGTTAGAAATCCATCTTTGAGGGAGTAGAGGCGGCTTGCTCTTCCCCGCAGTCCAGGCGCCCAGGGGTGGGTATTAATCGTCACTGGAGCTCGGTGTCGGCTCAGCTCTGGGCTGAGGACCCCTGTCACGGGAATAAGCGACCGGGTGGGGAAGCAGTTTTCCCTAGAGCAGCCCCAAGGAAACTCCATCCAAAGGGCGCGCCCCAAGCCCACCTGGACCGCGCTTCAGGACCGGTCCCCTCGCTTCAGGGAGAAGGGCTGGAGCCGCTGGCTCACCCAGGGTTGTGGGAGGTGCAGACTCAGGGGCTCTCCGTGGCTGGACTTTGTACTCTGGGACCTCCTGTGACCTCCTCACCCCACCCGGAGTGGCCCCGGGTTGAGGATCTCCACCAGCACTAGGGCAGCCTTTTTCCTTCCTAGCTGCTGCCAGAATCTTTTAAAAGATGCCCTCGGGTCACCCCAGGCCGGATAAAGATAATAGCATTCCTGGCAGGACTTGGGGCTGGCTCTTATCTTCTTTAAGGCATCAGCTCCCCAAAGCCAGCCCAGCGATTCTGGTCCCTAAGGTGCAGACGGGACTTGGAGGGGAGGGGCTGGCAGGGGGCGTCCCTCTGAGACACCCCCCACCCTCTCTCCCTCGCAGTGTACCACTGGGCGGAGATGCGGACTAAGATGCGCATCATGGGCTTCAACGCCGAAGCCGTGAAGCCGCTGAACGAGGGGGCAGCGGCCGAGCTGGGCGCGGAGCTGCTGGGCGAGGCCATCATCTTCGTCACGGCCTGCGGCTGCCTGCTGATGGAGTACTTGCGCCAACAGGCGCAGCGGCGCCGCAAGGAAGCCGAGCGGCGCGCCGCGTGGAACGCGTTGCGGGACGAGATGGGCCACCTGGCGCTGGCGCTGGAAACGCTGCAGGGGCAGGTGCAGGCGACGCCGGCGAAGGGCGCCCTGGAGGAGCTGCGGCAAGAACTGCGGGAGGTGCGCGCCCAGCTCCACGCCGACCAGGACCGGAACCCGGACCCACTGCCCGATCTCCTGGAGTACTAGGGGGACGCAGGGCCTGTGCTGGACATGACTGCTGTCTGAGCTGCGAGGTCTCCGACCTGGCCTGCCGTCTGCCCTGGCCCACCCTCTATCTGCCCATCTGACACCACCTGATCTCTTTGGGATCAGAGGGATCCTAGGATGCGATTCAATCGGGCACCTCCCTACTAACCTGTCCAGTGGTACCTTCCGCCTAGTGTCCCCCCCTCCCACTGGTGGAACTTTCCAACAGGGACCCGCCCCGTCCCCCTGACCTCGCAGGCACACACCTAAGGAGCGCTTTGGAAAGGAAAGGCCAGTCGTGAGTGGGACCCGCCTGTCCACTAGGTGGGTCAGCAGGACAAAACGAAAGTGGATTCTGCACTTGGATTTAGGCAGCCTCTCAATCGGTCATTCACACGCCCACTTACCTGAGGCGTGGCTCCTTCCCCTGGGACCCCCATCCATGGCACCGGAACACCCCCTGCCTCTTCTTCATTGGTTCAGACCATTGTTAAGAAAATGCAGAAAGTTCCAAAGGACTTTCCGTCCGTGGTGCCTGCCTCTACCTCCCTCTCCGAGGGCATAAGGGATGGGCTTGCCAGCCTCGGCCCCATCGAGTCACCCTGGGGCTCTTGCCTTTAATACTCCGTGGTGCCTTCGCCGGGATCATCTTCCTGAGTGGGTCGTTCCAACAGAAACCCCTCTTCCTTTAGTCTATGGCATAACCCACTGGCACCGCTGAGCTGGGTCTTCCTGGGCAGTGCCTCCCAGACCCGCCTCCCGGTCTGTTCTAGCAGGATGTAGCCCTTAGGGGAAGGGAAATGGGTGCCCACCAGGGCAAGTCCACTTTTTTCAGTCTCAGCCCCTTTTACCAGTCCCAAGTCATTGACCTATTCCTGTCCTTTCTCACAGCCCTCCCCTGTGGTCCTATTCAGTAGCCTTTTTTAAGGACCCATTTATCCTCTAAATATAAGGTCAGTGTCACATCCCTCATCTTCCATACAGACCTGCTCCTGGGAGAGCATTTTCTTGCACCTCTTCCGTGAGAACCCCACCCCATTCAACTGGAATGGCATCCCATTGAGCTACACACACACACACACACACACACACACACACACACACACAC